AAAAAAAAAAACAAGTCAGCTTGAATATACACATATATATACTTTTCTATTTTCAGGCAAAAAACAGGGCATCAACATTAAAGAAAACCCTTCACAACTTCAACTTAGAAATCTTTCGGGCAAAATTACAAACCCCAGAATCTAACTAATCTCCACAAATTTTAAAAAGGAAAAAAGCAAAGAAAAAACGAGTGAGAGAGAAAAAAAGAGGGGAAAATGAAAGAAAATAATCTTTCCCAATCCATATTCTCCCCATTCCATATCCACCATTTTTCTCATAAATGCCTGCGGTATATTCTCGTAGCCCAATATTCAAGAAAAAATTCAAGAAAAAGTCCATGTGTAGAGAGATGGATTCAGGTCGAGATTGCAGTGATTTTAGATTTGAAGGGCAAATTTTATGTCGATAGTCGAGGGTTTTCGGTTAGAGAATTTTTTGGATTTGTGACTTGAAGAGAGAATTTTTGGGATTAATAGAAACGACGTCGTACGAGGTGAGCTATTTTTTTTGTCCTATGAAATGTGTGCCACATCAATTAAATTGCCGGATATGTTGGCATCCGTCGGCCAATGACCGGGTCAATGCTTCGTTTTGCAAACAAACAAAAGATTGGGTACCGAAGTGCCAAAGTCTCAAAGTCGTGACAGAAGTGCCAAAGTCGATAAGGTCGTGATGTCAGATACAATTTTGCCTTTTAAATTTCACGCTTTGTCAAAGTGTGTGCTTGTATCAATGCAGAAGTAGTTTCATATATTGAAAAGTAGAGATTTGTTTTCACAAATGAGGGAAAGGAAATTCATTATAATGCCAAAATGATTACCACAAGTTATATATGTGTTTATGGTGAAATTTCATATAATATTTTTTGTATATATCATTGCAATTTTCCAAATATGTCAACTATTGGCGCTTCGTAATTTCTGTATCGATTTCAGGTGTTTCCTAATCATACACATCAAATTTTGGTATTTCGGAGTAAGTCATGTAAATTTAGAATTTTATTCAGTGTTCTAAAAATTAGATTAGGCAACCCGATTTTGGTCGAAGTAAGTCACGCTAGACTGATTAGGCGGTGACCTAGGCGGAATCCATGCGCCGCCTAGGCGCCTACATATTTTTGTTTTTTTTAGTTATTTTTAAATATAACAAAATAAAATCTCTTTTTTATACATAAAATGTACACTAGTTGTAAAGTTTAAAAATAATAATCACGTGAAATGTATGTATAATATTGAATTTTATTTAACCATACTAATTATTCTACTTCATAATATGTATTTTGCAAGATATGCATGATTATGAGTACAAATAAATTAAAAATACTTTTATGACCCCGCCCAATCCACGTCTAATCCACACCTAGGCGCTAGGCCCTAACACAGGGTCTAGCAGACGTCCAACGTCTTTTAGAACATTACTTTTATTCGGGTTTATTAGGGCTTTTAAAGTTACAAAATACTTGATAAACTTAAATCATAAAATATATTTTAATGTTTAATAATATTATTATTTGTTATCTATTTTTCCTATATGATATATCACGCGCTCTACCACTGAGCTAATAGCCCGTCGTGCGAGCCTCTCGTTGGGCCCAATATGCCAAAAGCGAGAGCAATCCCACTCTCTCAATGTTTTACGACGAATTTAAGTGGCGTTATAACGAAATCAGGTGGAAATAAAGAACATATAAAAAAAATAAAATAAAGTGTTGCACCAGCGTTTATTGTTAATGGGATGGGCCGCTCTTTGGCCTCTTTTGTGTAGAAACCTTAGAAGGATGGGAAGAACATGAAATATAAGGGGAAAGTGGGGAATAACTAAAAGTTTAACAACCAAGGCACTTCCATATAGTGGAAATGGAAGTAGAAAATGATGATCTTCAAGGCCTTTGGACCTCTCTATTTATAGAGAGGGAGGTCTTTAAAGTATTATATCTTGGGGACACGTGGTGGCTTATGATTGGTTGCATAGTGACACGTATTCGGCAACATGTAAGTAAATTGCCCTACTTGGGAAATTATCTTTTGGGCTGTGGAAACTGGTTCAGGGCGATATCTCTTTTCATATTAGCTCAAGGGTAGCTCGAACGGTTTAGGATCGACTATGAGGAATGATTCACTTGTGAGAGAGGTCGGCTCATTGTTGGGTGATGTCTGAGGTCGGTCTTTCTTCTCAGCTAGGGATCTCTTGGGTACCCAGACCCTGGGATTGTCGCAAGTGTTGGACTGATAGATAGATGTCTAAGTTGCACATTTGATCCCGAGGGTTGGAGGTTTTGAAATATCCTCAAAGTAGGTTAGAAGTAAAAAATAATAATAATAAAAAAAAAAAATACCCTCTTGACCTGCTACCATCAGTGTTGATTAAGTTATCAAGCCCATTAATTTTCCCCTCTGCTTCACACTTGCCTGGAAAAACCTAGTGTTTTTATCTCCCTCTTTAAAACAGTTAACCATTGATTTATTTTTCCAGTAAATTTCCTCATTTTTATAAGCAAGGTGCATCTTTTCCCTCGACATGTTCCACTATTCCCAATCCTTGTTTTTCCCTAAAGGTTCTAGCACCTTCCACTCCTCTCTGAACTTAATTAAAGTAGTGGCAGAATAGGTGATATGACCTGATTTTCAATTTATGAGAGTCATCCTTACATTCCTAATCATTTGATGTAAACTAAACAAAACAGGGCCATGTTCAGGAAGATTCCAGGCTTTCTCAACTACTTCTTGGTACCTCTCCATATTGACCCACCTAACATCAAAAGAAAACCTCTTCTTATGGCCCTAAAAAATGCATAAACTATCCAAAACAATCATACTGTGGTCAGCTGATATTAGAGCAATGTGCTTACCTTTGGCATTAGAGAATTTTAAGTTCCAGGCAGGTGAAAGAAAAAATCTATCTATTTTTTTCCTCCATGAACTCCCTCAGTTGTCTGTTGTTAGTCCAAGTGAAAAGATGACCGACAGTACTAGTTTCAACCCCCTCTAATCCTCTAACAAACTCTAGCTTTCTCCTTCCTTACCCCATGCATTTTATCTGAATTACCTAACAAGTCATTAAAATCTCCTCCCATAAACCAAATGTCTCCCCTATCTCACACTATGCCTTAAAAGAGTACCCCCACTGACGCAACCTTTCCACCAGATTATTACTTGCATACACAAACACCCCCCATCGGATTTCGAAAAAATTTAACAGGGAAAACTTCACTTAAATACAAAAGTCTAGGCAGATAACTTTTAGAATGTTAACATTATGAGACCAACATAAAACCAAGCCACCTTTATTACATAAAGGTTCCACATAACAACACCTATTATCAAGTTATAAAATGTTACAAACAGTTGAGGCAAACTTT